CTGCAGGTGGGCATGTGTGCTGAAAAGACCCTCACCGACCTCTCCCAAACAATCTGTCTCTCTCTCTCTTAGCTGGCCAGGCTTCTCTGTTGGTTACAGCTCAGGTACCTCACTTCCACCTGTTGCCTGCCCCCATCTTTCCCCTTCTTGACTTGTGTTGACCTCCAGTGAGCACCTCCCTGGTCCCACCTCACTGGTCCTGTCTGTGCAATGCTGTCACCATCCTTCCCGCTTTCCCACCTGCGTGAGTTTGTGTGCCCTCCGCACCGTGTTTGTGCTTGGGGATTTACGCTGTAATGATGTCATGGTGGAGGTTAGCAGATGGCAGCAAAGCAATGAGACCTGACATGTTCTAATAACTCCCTCCTTCCCACCCTTACTGGCCGAGCCAGCAGAGGCCCAGGGCTTTCCTTGAAGTATTCAGGGAGGGGGCTGGGGGAAATCAGGGGTGGGGCCCAGGTGCCTATGAGGCCTGTGACCTTTGCTGCTATAATATCAGTGTTGCACAAGCAAGGCAGTTCGGGAGCCCACTTGCAGCCCATCAAAAATTGATTTAATTGCAATTTTTCCTCCAATTAGGAGCACTGGAGCCTGACTAATTGGAGTAATAGAGAGTAATAAGGCTCAGATAAAAGCCTTCCTCGGCTCCCTTTGTATCTTGTGTCAGTGTCTGTCAGAGGTCAGAGAGCTTGCGTATTCTATTAGGCAGCCCGGCCTTCATTTGTACAAATTAGTTTACCCAACAGTAATTAAAATGCCAGTGCGGGCTGAAGAGAGCTGAATACACTTGATGGGCATGCTGGTGAATGATGTGACAGCTCTGGTGGCCTCCCTTGCCAAGTGTGTCAGCCTGGGCTCAGGCTGCTGGGGCCTAGTCCAGCTGGGCGGCTCCGGCCAGCCTCGAGCACAGCTGCTGGGCACAGCCACTTCTGCTGCCCATCTGGGCCAGGCTTTCCTCTCCTCCTCCAGGTACAGTTGTTTGTTCAACTTGTTGATTCATCCACACCATCTTTCAAGAAGTTTTTGGGATGTCTCTAGACGTTGTACTACATGCTGTGAGCCAAACAAAATCAACTTGAAACCTATGTCCCATGGACATCTGTGGGGTGATATAATGGATTCTAGAATTAACAGGGCCAGCTCCAACACTGCTCAACTGAGTAAGAGGCACACTTTATTACCTCCCCGAGCTTCCTGATCTGTGGGAAGATGCTACTAACGTACTTACTCATCACCTGGCACACAGTAGGTCTTCAGTAAATCACAGCTGTTGGATGTGCTGATACATGCTTGTAATCAATAAATCAATAAATTACAGTTGCTTGGTGTGCTGATACATGCTTGTAATCACTTGGGAGCTGAGTGAGGAGGATTTAGAGTTCAAGGCTGATCTGGGCCACATTCAAAGACCCTGTCTGTAAACAAATAGTAAATGACAACCATTTCCTTGTGTCTGTGAGGGATTAGGTCCAGTACCCATCCCCCACTCAATACCAAAATCTTCACAAGTTCAGATAAATGCACAGAAGCCAGCAGGTGGTATATACCTGTAATCCCAGCACGGAGGGGTCAGGAGCAGGACACCACAAATTTAATGCCACCCTGAGCTCCACAGTGAGTTCCTAGTCAGCTCTCAGAAACCAAACCAAAATAAAGGGGCTGAAAGATGACTCCGTGATTAAGAAGCACTTGCTGCTTTTGCAGGGGACCGGGGCTTGGTTCTCAGCCCCAGCATAGGACAGTTTATAACAGCCTGTAACTCTAATTCCAGAGCTGTCTTAGGGTTTTTATTGCCAGGAAGGGACACCATGACCATGGCAACTCTTATAAAGGACAGCATTTTATTGGGGGTGGCCTACAGTTCAGAGGCTTGTCATAGTGGGAAACAAGGTGGCAAACAGCTTAACGTACAGGCAGACGTGGTGCTGGAGAGGTAGGAGAGTTCTGCGTCTGGATCCACAAACAGCGGGAAGAGAATGAGACACACTAGGCTTAAACTTCTGAGATTCGAAGCCTGCTCCCCAGTGACACACTTCCTCTAAGAAGGCTGCCTCTACTCCAACATGGCCACACCTTCCAATAGTGTCAGCATCCCTATGAGCCTGGAGAGCCATTTTCATTCAGACCTACAAGGGTTAACAACCCTTCTCATTCTCCATTTTTCTGAATTTTCTTTCTATTCTTTATCTTGCATACAGGATCTCTAACTTCCTAATGTCTTTCTTGATCGGATGCCTGTGTGTCCAGTTTGCATCTTATGGCTTCTGTGATGTCAGGCTTGCTTAAGGTACATAGTCAGTGGCAAGTTAAGGGTCTTGGACAAGGACTGAGAAAGGACAAGAAATTTTAGGCTAATTTCTGGCCAGGGCTTTGTGGTTAAAAAGTATAGCTTATGGGGTCTGAGGGACTTGTTACTCCCCACCCACAGATCCCTAGTCCTCTGGGCTGGGCACTGAGTACATGTGGGGAATCTCTTAAGAGGAACCACGGAAGGAATGCATGTGTTTCACTTCATCGATGAGAACTTGAACAGGCTGAGCGTAGAAACTAGAATAGTGAAAACCTATGGATCAAATCAAGCACAGATGTTAGGCTGACCCTAAGCTGGCAAGAGATCAGGACAGACTTGACCTTTGGGAACAAGGGCTGCAGAGCTTAGAGAACTGGGGTGAAACTGCCAGTAGGCAGAACCCCACCCATCGCTCTTTCAAACCTTGTATCTGGACAGTGCTGGCGAGGTGCTGAGTACTGGTGGCCCTTGGCTGGGTTGACCAGGCTCACTGGCTTTTAGCGTCTGCCTTCAAATGTGGGTAGTCGATGGCTTTTGCCACGTTCTTCATAATGACCATAGGCACTGGGCAGAAGGCAGGCACAAAGCATGACCCACAGCAGTGGGGCGGTGTTCAAGAGGCATGGGGCTGCATCCGTAGCTAGCTTGACTCCTTGATGCCCAGGCAGTCCCATGGGTTGGGCTTGTTACCGAACCGACCAGTCTGTCCGCAGTCACATGACTTTATATTATTAAACTCTCAAGTCCTCCTAAGTGCCGGACGTTCTAGCTTCATAGAACCAGGCAAGGGGGAAAGGATAGCATTGGGAAAGCTTTTATAGGTGTTCTGTCCAGGTAATTGAGGAGAGGGGCCCTCTACTTGGTGGCAGATGGTCAGGGCAAGGGGTGGGTGGGTGGGCCAAGCAAAGGCCTAGAGTCCCTGGGAAGGGTTTGCATCCTCCTTTGCCCCTACCCCACCTGCTGGGAGGTCAGGGCTGCAGGAGTGGCAGGGATTAACTTCCAGGCTCCGCCCCCATCTTTCTCTATTGATTTACCTTGAGGCTCATTTAGGCCTGTGGCCAAGAGGCCTTGAGAGACTTCTTTTAGAGATGCCTGTGTCTGCGCTGGCGCCCTTTACCTGGCCTCAAGTCCTCAAAAGTCTGGAGAGGCCAATTGCCTGCTCCAGTGATTTCCAAGTAGCTATTATGTTTCCAACCCAAGGTAATTGGCTTTACCAGTTATTAATGGATTACACTAAAGAGAAAAGCATAGGTGAAGGGAGGCGAGGGTAACACCTCCTGGCTCCGTAGTTTGGTTCCTTGGTGTCCACTGGCTGCCTGGCACTGCCACTTTACGGTAGAATGGCTGCTGGCAGTCGATGAAGAGGAAGCTGGGCTGCTGTCATATTCCTGGAGGAAGCTTTGGCATGAGGCATGAGAACCCCGGATGTCTTGTCTGGCTTTGCTTGTTTGGAGATGACAGGTGGGCAGTAGTCTACAGTTTTGGTACTTAAACCAGCCAGTGCCTGCCCAGCAGACATTTCCCTCATCAGCAACCTGTAGCTAGCTCCTCACCAGCTGCACTGTCCAGAGCACTGCCTCCTCAGAACCTTCTCTGTAGAGCTCTACCTCCCACTGACAAGCAGGGTACAGATGCTGGGCAGTGCAGGCCAATGGGCTGCTTGCCTATGTGGTTGAGGTATCATTAATGTATCCAGTCTTCTTTCCCCAGTGCAGGACATGTGGGGCCTGGCCCACCCCCGTCCTAAGCCTTTAACCTTACTGACTGACATTAGGTTTCTTAAGGCTTCCCCTCCCATGCCTCCCAAATGATGTGACGAGGGTCTGCTCTAGCTCGGGTGTTCCCGCTCTCACCCTAGCATTGTGGCTCATCAGGCTGATCTTCCCACCGTGCTTGAGCCTCCGTAGCATGAAACCACGCAGACTGCCTAGGCTGACCGTTCTGAGAGGCTCTGGAAATCGTGTGTTCTTTCTCACCTGCCTGTTGGCAGTGTCCACAGTACCCTTAGAGACTCTTCCCAACTCATACCTCATTCCTCAGCAGGCCTGGCTACTTGGCCCAGCTCCCTGAAAACTACAATATACTCTTGGAGATGTACTATTTGCCCTGTATTTATACAACTTTGTCAGTGCCTTCCAATTATTTGGGGTGGAGGGTTGAGACAGGCTTTCTCCTTTATAGACTAGTCTGAGTTCTGTCCTCAAACTGCCTCTGCTTCTTTAGTGCTGGGATTAAAGGTATGCCCCACCAAGCCTGGTTTCTCAACTCTTAAACCCTTTTGGAAAGTCTCCAGCTGATTGGGGTATCACTGGTCAGTCCCAGAAGGATGCTCCTAGGAGATCTTAGAGCACTGAGCCCTCAAGTCTCATGCAGGTACATTCTCATAAGCTCACACTGCCTTGGGCACAGGGCTGCCCATGAGAGGTCTGCTGTTTCTGTGGTCAGAGGTGACATGTCCCAGTCCAAAGAGCAAGCTTCTCATGGTTGAGCTCCACAGCCTCTAGTCAGACAGCCTTGGGAGGTCGCACCCCTCTTCACACCAAGTTGTCTTAGAGACTCCTGTGATACTTCCTCCTTCTCTCTTAATGTTTCTTTTTCTGGCTTAACCCGGTGATCCCTGGGCAAAGAGCCCAGCATTTCTAATGTGTAGCCATTTCCGCCACAAGTTCTGACAAGCCAGCTCTAACTTTGCTCTCCTTTTGTTTGGCAGCTCTTTTGTGACTGGAACAGCTTGCTGTGGGCACTTCTCACCTCTGAGAATCTGGGACCTCAACAGGTAAGAGATTCCTAAGCTCACAGTGGCATTCAGTGGGGGCAGGGCTGGGGCAGCGGGGAGACAAAAGAAGAGCTAGCTAACCAGCCCCTGCCTCAGTTAGCCTGGTGGTACCAGAGGAGGCAGGAAAAATCCCACCTGCCACCCACCAACAGCTGCAGTTCGTTTTGGGGGAGTTATTTGAGGTTAGCTTGAGGAGCCCCCAAAATCATCTGAGTGATTGGACAACTCGGTGTTGCCAAGTAAGCAATAGGTGAGCCTGCTCATGTACAACTGATAGGAACTACTTGGGTTTAATATAGCTCTCCTGACCAGTTCCTGACTGTGTAATCTATCCTCGGACGAGAGCTTCTATAACATAAATTTCAATGGTGGCCTTCCAAACCCATAAAATAATTGTGTAGGACGATTAAAACACAACCGGGTTTTCTTCACAGTTCTTCAGTCAGCAAGCTTCGTACACTCTGATTATCTGCTAGTCTGTTTTAGTTTTGTTATCTTTTTTCAACCAAAAACTTTTATTTTGAAATAATTTTATATTCATAGGATGTTACAGAGAGATCAGAGGGGTGCTTGTAAAACATTTGTATAACACTGTCAGAAGTAGCTCTGGCAGTGGAATCCCACAGGCCTTTTTCTGTACCCACTACCACAGTCAAGATAGAGATTCCTCAGATACCCTTCCCAGTCGGACCTGCATTGTCTCTAACACCCACAACCACTTAGATGCTCTCTGCCTCTGATTTTGTTGTTTTGAAGATATGATATAAAAGGAATCATATAGTTTGTTACCTTTTAAGAGTAGCTTTGTAATGTTAGGCATGGTGGCACAGATCTTTGATCCCAGCACAAGATAGGCAGATATTTATGAGTTTAAGACCAGCCTGGTCTACAGA